TAGTTTTGTAGAAGACATAAGAAAATTGTTTTTGTTGTTTAAGAAGAAAATCCTCAGTGAAATAATCTGAGCCTTATGTTGTATTTAGCAAGTGCTACCTGTTATTCTTTCACAGTCAGAAGGCTGGAATTTCTCTTCAGTGGAGACTAAAACAAATAAAAATTTATTGCATTTGCAAAAGAGGTGGTGAGTAGCCTTTGTACTTTTCCTCTGCATAGAATGCATCCTTACTGCCATTTTCTTGTCTTTGCAGAGGAGGGATCCAAGATGGAGATATTATTGTGAAGGTCAATGGGCGTCCTTTGATGACTTCCAGTGACTTGCAAGAGGCTGTGATGAATGAATCACCTCTACTACTTGAAGTTCGAAGAGGAAATGATGACTTGCTATTTAACATTGAGCCTGAAGTTGTCATGTAAATAGACTTGAGGAAGCTCTCACCATAATTAAATTCACTTATTCTGGAACACTAGATACCTCCTTTACAGCTACAGTAATTATACTTCCTGTTGACTAATGACAAGGTGGACTAACTTAATTGCCTGAGCCATTTCTGTACATAGTAGCTAGAATGACTTCAAAGATGCCATTTATAGAAGATTTAAATTTCAAAGAAACTTAAGAACTGTGTTCTGGAGAGGAGGAAAAAAACAAATTTTGAGTAGATGGTAGAAATGGGTCCCACTTCCTGTACCAGCAGATTCAGTTCTGCATATTGAAAGATGCAAATACTACTGGAAGTGGGCAAGTATACAAAAGGGGAATTATTCTTAAACTACAGTCATGGCTGCAGCAGACCCAAGCTATTGCAATGCAAAATTGAGCTTTTTTTTTTTTTTTTCTTTTTGTGTAACTTTTTCAATGTGAACCTATTATTGGCAAAGCTTGTAATTGTTCTTAGTGCTTCTGTGCTCCATGTCAATGCAGGTAGATGAAATCTGTAAATATTGAAAGGAACAAAAATGGTATCAGGCTATAGAGTGTTACACCTAGGTCATGCGATTTTTGGAATATAGTAAATGATTCTTATAGAATTAATGCCTTATATATAAATCAAAACGATGTGCTGAACAAAGTTAAGTTTGAGAAAGTGCACAGTTTTTTAAGAATTTGATACAAACTTGTTTTGCATTTTTACTGGTAAGCTTTGCTGTAAAATTGTTACACTACTTTTGGCTTTGACTGTGTATGTTTCTACTGTAAGGAGATTAAAGTTTACACAAATAATCTGTTGATGTAAACCTCTTTTTAAACAAATATGTCTTCCCTGCTTCTTCTGTCTGACTGGAATAGGCTTTCCCAAGAGAAAATTTCCTTACAAAATTGAGCCCTGATGTTATGAAAACCCTTTGCATCCCTATGATATAATTATTCTGCCCTTATTTAGAGTATGTTTAGAAATGCTTTGCACACAAGTCATATATTTACACTGTGTTTTTCCATATTTATGAATTGTACTTTCATGTCACTTAGAGAGTATCAAGTTGGGTTCCTGTTGTCCTCAATTCTCCCTGTATGTGATGAGAAGCAGAAAGGAAGCACCAGTAACCCTGTTTTACAGCTAGAGCATGTGAGAGTTCTGTGTAATAAACCCAGGAGAGAAATTGCTAAGCGCTAAATCCAGATCTCCTAGGTACCCCAAACCAAACAAGTATCTTCTCCCTTAGTGAATATTGCTTCATTTCCTAAAGTCAGAGGGATGTTTCTATCTGGAGCATTTTCCACATCAAACTTTGCTTTCTAGACCTGTTTCTTACGTCTTCATTACGCTGATGCAAAACGGAATTATTCTTTGGGGCAGTTCCCTTGAGGTTGCCATCATGCCTAGACTTTCTGGTTATACCAACTCACTTATATATGACAAGCCTTGCATCTTCAGGTTTGTACAGTGCTAGACATGCAGAAAAGTGCAATCTGTTCCCTGCTTGCTGGCTGACTGGATCTGCAGCTGTAAAGTTCAGAGGTGGAGGGGGTACCTTCCTCTTAAAAATGAATGGTGTTGCTTTCCATTACAGGAATGTGATGTGCCTGTAAGGATAGCTTCACCCTGCTGCTGTCACTGAAAAAGAGCTGTTTTCACATCACAAACCAAAGATGTTTAGTTGTACCTGTTGAATATTCCAATTCCTTTGTGTTAAGATACAGCCATAGCATCCAGACTTGCAAAAAGCTTTGTGTTCTGAATTTAGTGTAGCTGTGGCATGCAGAAGGATGCTCTCATGGCCAAAGTTAAGCCTATCCATCCATGTATACCATGTTAGTACCAACATTTTACAGTTTATAAGGGGTGTCTGTTTGTAACCATTGATTAATACAAAAGAAATGAAAGTATTTCTGAGCTTGTTGCTAATTTTTCAAGTCTTGGCCAAGAAATTGTTTGCTAAGAAGACCTAGACAGTGATTAGCTTCTTTTACTGTAAAAGAAGCTTTTTGTCTTCCAGTTAACAAATTTATGATTTTGAAATAAATGGCACAAAAACTCCTAGTACAGCAATATGGGATAGAGACTGGAAGTGACACAGCAGTATTAAAAATTGAAAACACTTGTTAGTGCTTGCCAAATGCCTTGGCCTTTTAATCAAGTCACTGTGTAGGGAGGGAAAGGCTATTTCCTTATTCATAAAAAAATGTTGCATTCTACCAACAGTCTTTGTTTTTGTAAACTGTCTCTGAAAACCTTGATGAACTCGCACATCATATTCAGGGGTCTGCAAGTGCTGCAGCACTGTAGCAGATCTCCCTCCAAGGTAATAAAGGCCAGCTGAAGAGCTTTAGAAAGAAAGCATTGTCATTCCCTTTGGCTGCAGGAGCATCTGTGTCATTTCAGCTGTGGTGTGACCCTTGTCTGCTGAGATATGAGTAGGCTTTATTAATTTCCACTTGTCCCCCTGACATCGGCCAGAACTGCAAAGGGTAATTACTCAAAGATAGGGTCAGCATCTTCTGAAGCCAGCAGTTAGCATTAAGTTTATGACTCAAACTTGATATCTCTGTTTCTTGGATAAAAGGAAATAAAATGGCAGGTGTTGTCTCTTTAAAACAAAGTATTCTGGCAGTCTTTCTGCCAGAAAGCAGAAAGATTTCTGGCTGTGCCTCTTAGGAAATTTAAAAAAAAGTGATCTTGATTTCTCAAAAGAACCAGACTGGCAGCTACAGCTTTTTCAAGTCAAAGTGGTCATTGACCCCATTATTTCTGCAAGGCCTAATCAGCAAAATAAGGAAAGAGACAGACCACGGTTACTGTAAGAAAGACACAAGTATTTCAGGACATTTCTATGCTGCAGCCCAGCAAGGTCATCTGTGGTTGCTGCTCAGCCCTATCCAAGCTAAGCCCTGTGGGGGAGTTCCCTCTCACCTGTCCTGCTCACGTGCGCCCACTGTGAAGCTGAGCCAGGCAGTGACAACTCTTCAAGCTTAATGTTTGGTACAAAACAGGAATGAGAACACAGAATGCATAATAAAATACTATTCATAAAGAGAGATTGTGGCTGTTAGGAAGACAAGGTATGGGTGGAGCAGGAAATAAGAAAACAACACACAACAGAAAGAAAATAACCATATCTCAAGGAGAAAAAGAAAAGATATGTCTGTTAATTTCTTTTATATAACTAGATGGGCATGGCACTGGACCAGACTGCTGCACAGCTGCCCAGTACATGAAGGCCCCTTTCTGCAGGGATGGCACCTTACAACTCTCTACTCTCAGAGCAGTACAGGATGGGTGACATCCCAGAACATCAGTGACTCTCCCCAAGAGGAACCAGTAAAGGACAGAGAGCCTTTAGGATGAGTCAGTGTGCCACACACTTTGTCATCTTCCCTGAGCCCCACAGAGTTGCTCCCATGGCTGATTATTTGTAGCTCCCTGCTCTCCCACTCTGTGAGTGCTCTACCACATTTGTACCTCTGGTATCAGCTAAAAAAATGGGAGAAGAGAGAGAGAGGCACTTTGTATTTGCAAAAAAAGAAAAACAAGGGAATCCAGCACCTATCAAGGAACTGTACATGACTCAAGATGTACATGAGCATTAGGGTTTGCCAGGCTTGTTTGTTACACTTGGTAATGTGTAACAGCAAGCTCCTGATTTGTAGGCTGTGGCTGCTGTGTTGTCCAGAGCACTCTCATGGTCCGGCAGTTGTATCTGCTGTAACTCCAGGAATTTTGGCCTGTGGAGATCTGAAAAGGCTTGAAAAGGCAGCAGAAATATGGATTACTGGGGAACTCCAGTGTTCAGACAGAAAACCAGTGCAAGGCAGCTCTTCTGCACAACCTGCTCTCTGTGTGCTGTTGTGTGCATTCTACACAGCCACACAGCAGCCAACATTCCTTCCTTTCTGTACATGTCCTGGGACTGCCTCTGCATCACTTATTCTGTGCAGAGCTCTTCCCCACAGCATCTGCCACAGGGGCTTTCACACCTCTGCATTTGGCCCTCTGCAGCAGCTGCTCTGTTTGCCCTTCTCTGATGGCTTTGTACCAACTCTTCCATACCTCCATACATCCCAGACAGCGGCCTCACACTCTTTAAAGTTTGTTTTGACTGCTTGCTTCTTGCCTGGGGCTTTGTTGTTTTAGCAGAAATAAGGAAGAAGGAGGAATTTTTATTTCTTTCTTCCCAAGCTCTGGAGTCTGGAGTGCTGTGCTGAGCATTTCAAGTCCATAGCAAAATACTAAGGCCCTGGGTTGATGAGAAGTTTAAGCACAGGACTCTACAGGATATAGGTGATGCTGCCTGTGTTTAGGTGCCACCAGGCAGAAACTGGTGTTAATAGATATACAAGGCTGAGGGTTTACCCCAGGGAAGGTGTGTATGGACACTATGGGTGTGCTTTCTGTGCCCACATACAGGATTAAAGTTTGCTTTGAAGTAGGAAGAAAACTTAAAAAGGGAAGGAAAAGGGTGTTTAGCATATTTTAAAAAATTATTTGCTTGGCTATCTGTAATCTTCATTTAATTGGATGTGCCCAGGGAAAGCCTCCAGGTCTCTGTTTATTCTCATCCTTATTCCAACAGTAGCAGATTATTTTTGCAACTTTGCTGTTCTGTAAATAGTAGATTTGGTCTTTTATGCATGCATTCCCAGTGCTAGTGCCAGCAGAAGAGCTTGGTTTACTTTTTCTGTAGAGGAACTTTGCAGGTGATGCCATGGGCTGCAAAATGAGGCAGAAAGAGGATCCTACTGTGAATCAAGAGTTGTTTAGGAGACTTTGCTCGTTGGTCCAATTCTCTGTCAAACATTAGAGAAAATGTTATATTGCATTTTTATAGTCAAAAATGCAGATTATATGAACGTGAACTAATGCTCATGCAGAACAGTACACAGATGCAGGAGAGGAACTTCAGTGTGCAACAATCACAAACAACAAAAAAAGAAAAAATATATTTGGGTTTTTTCCTCTTTTGATTTTTATCCCCTGGGGAGAAAGGTCAGACAGTGCTCCCCCCATCCCCCCTTCCTCTTCCCCTCCCTTTCTCTCTCCCCCAGAGACTGTGAGAATATGTCAATATTAAACAGCATTTTCCCTATGAAGATCTCTGGAGAATAACAGAAGCAACTTCTTGCTCTTTCTTTCTTCAACAAACACCAGCCAGACCTTCACAAACAGCCAACTGAAGCATAGTCAGGAAAAAACAAGTTCTTAAAGGCAGCAGTCGCCAAGGAAAATAATTGGGCGGCATGAGGGTTTTGGTGAC